TGCAAGGTGGTAAAAAAGATGTCCTTGTGCATTTGGGTTAATGGGTTATTCCAGATGTGTCCAAGTACTAATTTCATTAGGTTGCCATGCTTCTCTTTCTACCTATGTTTTTTGGCTGCCCCAGCAGAGCCTTCAAGCTTTGACTGGGCAGATGTGCTGGTGTGTATCTAATGGCCTTATTCTGAAATTCTGATAAGCTTCATCTATGCTATATTGTCTAGGCCTCATAGGAGTCAACTCATGCAAAGCCTGGAAAGATTCCCCTTGGGCTCTAAAGGCTTTGCTCTAAAAGTGCTATGGGGGTGTGTGTTAGACGCCTCAGGCACCAATAAAAGCCCTTTGCATTCTCTAGGATGCACCATGGGGAATACTGTACAGTAGCTTAAGTGGATACCTTCCCCATGTGGACGCCACCTCATTTTTAGTAAGGCTGCTAAGTGGAAGTGGCAGTGGGTGTTTCAGCAGATGTTCAGTGCTGAACGCTCCGAGCCTCAGTTTGAAGACAAGAATTGAAGTAATTAGCATGTATTGTTTGAGGAATGTAACGTTGTCTCTGCTCATCTTGATTTTCATGGATCGGAGCACTACATGGTGCCTTTGGGAGGGCTCACTGAAAAAAAAATCCAAAGTGCCTTGAGTTATACTTCTGTGCATGGCCTGAATTACCCCAATTGCATCATCCAGCACAGCGCAGTACCTATTGCATTTCAGAGTTTTCTCTTAGGATCTACAACTAATCAGTCCTTCACCTTATTTTGAAAGGAGCTCAGCCTTTTAGACTCTAACAGCATATGCCCGTAGACCCAAAGCCCTCCCAAAGTGCCGCAAATAGATAGTGTTGTCCTCTAGAAGGCAGGAGACTCAGCTGCTTCCATTGCTGGATGGCATTTAAACCCATGTTTCCTAGCTGCTAGGCTGCTGCTCTGCCCAGACTAAAGCTTTGCAAGCAGCTTTAAAGCCTTGCTGAGCAACAAAGCCTCGTTCTTAGGGCACTTGGGGGAGCGAAGAGTGATGGGGTGCAGTCCTTATTCCCAGGGCAGTTTGTACATTTTAACCAGTGACTGTTTAGTGCAAAATAATACAGCTTAAGATGCTTAGAGGATCTTTTTGTATCCCAAATTAATTGTTTCTTGAGGAGTTGAAATCCTGGTGTGCATCTGACAGCTGCCCAGATATAGTACCCAAAACTGTCAGATCCCATTTCTCCCTTGCGTTTGGCTTCAGCTACGGATGTCTGAACTGCTCTTTCCACTGGACTCTGCAGATGCCAGCTGGGTCATTCACAGTTCTGACACAGAGTCCCCAGAAGAAGCTGCAGCTAAGGGAGACTTGGCTCTCTATCACGAGGTGCCGCTCAGTGGAAGCTGCAAGTACGTGCAGCCTCTGCTGAAGTTTCTGCCTGAAATGGGGACAGATCTCTTGGTGGGCAACCGCAAGCTGCGCGCGCTCTCCGAAATGCTGGATTTCAGACTGTGGCAGGGGCTGGCTGGCTCTGTGGGGTGAGTATAACTCACACCTTTAGGGACCTGACAGTGACAGAAAGATGAGGAAGAGCTACGCTCGGCAATTACAGCTGGAGACTACTCGCAGGAGGTTTGCAAAGCTTAGGGAAGATCTACACAGGCTGAAGTGTTCCAGGCTTTGCTGCTAGTAGTTCAGCCTCTCATGTACTTCGCAGGGTTTCCCCTCCCAAACACTTTCCTACCTCAGAGAAGCTATAACTAAACCCTGAGCTACCTTTCAGACATATCTTACATAGGCTTAGCCCTTCCCTGACTGTTCATTTCTTTAAAGTTCCTTCTCCAGTCAGCTTAAAAGGCTCAGCTGCTTTCTTGTCAATGTCAAGCTCAGGCTCCACTACAGGCATGTTAACTTCATGAAGGGATGGTAGCAGTACAATCCTCTGTGATGGTCAGGACCAGTGATTTCTATCCCGTAACAGTGTATCTGTTCAGTCTGACAGGACAAGTGCATGACCCATCACAGAGAAGTTTACCCCCTTCAAAAGAGAAAACTCCATTCGTTTGGCAAACAAGAAAAAAAAACCCACTAAAATCCTAAACTCTACAAACCTCTAAAAAAAGAGTTCTGCTGGTGGAAACAATGGATGGTGACAGACTTCTGTGAGTTTATTGCTCCCATGTGAGGTTTGCAGTTGAGAATTGCCCTGAAGAGCTGCAGTAGGTAGATTTTTCTGTCTTCATATGCAATTGGAAAACACCCACTTCATCTTGCTTGTGCTGTTTTGTTTAAACTCAGTTGGCTTAATCCCACTGCAGTCAGGTTTATTTGATGTTTCTCCATTAGCTAAGTACTGCTGGATGCTCCAGCACGATATGCTTTATGGCAAGGAGTGAAAAACACAGGAGCAGGCTGTAGCGTCAGAGGCATTCGCTGCCGTTGCCCTTTTGCTCCTGTTGAGCACCGTGTTTTGCTGTGGAATAGTAACAAGGCTTCACTGACAAGAGGCGAGGACAAGCATGACTGAGGAAAAGGAAGCCGCGTTGATTTCATCATTACCCTTAGCCCCACAAACTGCCCTTTTGTGATTGGTGGCCAGATGCCCACACATCTCCGTTCTTTTTCTGGCTCTTCCTTGCCTCACTGATTCATTCTGGGTGAAGCAGCTCCCATAAACAAAAGGCAAACATCTCAGCATTGCTTCCACATTGGGAAGTGCTATTTCAGTTGCTAGGGGATCTGCTTAGAAAAGAAAGCCAACTCTTAAAAACTGTATTTCCATTTCAGGCAGTCTTACCTTGTGCTGTTCTGTTGTTTCAGCGAATTTTCTGAAGAATCATACCCTGGTTTTGTTCTCCTATTAATATCTGGGGGGAAGTCTTTATTAAAACTTATGACTGCTTGAGAACTAAACTCACATGCACACATACATCACAAAGAGCCTAAATTGAGTCACTTTCTACACTGGCAATATGTTGCCTAAGTTCCTGGAGGGGAAAAAAGAGAAATGCTGCAAAATCCAGAGGCAATTGGGCTGCGTTTTTTGGCTTTGGCTTAGGTTCAGTGTTCGAGTAGAACATATTGAATACAATTTTAAAAATTCAGCAGTATTCTTGTGGAAATGATCAGGTATGTCTGGTGAGAAAATCAAATGGATCAGCAAATTTTCTATGAATGAGTCTTAAACACAGGTGGAGAGGTCATCTGCTTACAGGCTCAGACAATAGCTCTAGCAATGGAAACCAGGGATCTGGATGGAGGTAAAGAATTGCTAATAAGGTAATTGCCCCCAGATTAAAAATTTCAAAAATACGGTTTTATATAGCTGTATCTGAGGTTAAGTAGAATGCAGCACTGGTAAGAACTGAAATAAAAGTCCTTGGGGTGTATTAGGTAAAGAACAGTCTCTGCTTGCAAGTAATTTTAGCAGCTAAATGGCTCTGCTCGTTCTCTGATACCTAATGATAATGTCTTCAATTTCACACATTGATTTTTAAACAATGCATGTCAAAATAAAGTGAGTTCCATAGGCAAATTAGCACAGTCACAGGTTTGCCACCTTCTCCACACCTCATTGGAAACTCCACGCTGTTGGAGCAAGCTAATTCCTTTATCCTCAAGGTGACTGTTGGAGTGGGGCTTAGATTGTTCTGCCCGGGCCATACGCATGAAGGACCAGCTGGTCATCAGCTGTAACAACTATAATGCGGCACAGCCCATCCTCTAGCAACTGCTCCAGTCGTGCTCCCTGAAAATCTCTTGAAACCTATGAGCACTGCATTTCCATTGTCAATAATAGACATCTCGCCAAATAATCTCCTTAGTGGATTACAGATGAACACCCTCTTAGTTTTTGCAGTAATTAGTATTAAATTAAGTGTAGTTTTAGACTGGAAGAGGGTGGGAGGAAGAGCAAAGGAATTTAGTATTGGCAGAAGGTGCCTTATGGACAACCCTGGAACCACTAATCCATGCAAATTGTGGGACGAGGTCTGCAGGGTGGGGTTTCCATGGGAGACAGTGCTGGGAGGGAAGGAAAAGTCAGGTATTAGAACTACTGTACCTGCCACAGACTTCAGGCTCTAGTGTACTGGTGCAGGCAGTATATTTACTAAAGACAGGCTCGTGAGGCACCCCGGATGATCAACTCCGCATGGCTCTTGTGTGTCTGGTAAGGGAAATGGTAAAATTTAAAGGGAAACTTCCCTTATGTGGCCTAAGCCAGACACAGCTACTAAAATCTGGCACCTGTATGTGTGTGTGGTCAAATGCTGCAGAAGAAAGGAGCTGCGGTGTGCAGCAAGTTGTTTCATTGTGCTGAGTATGAGATGACCTTGGAAAACAACATCTGTGCTAGCAGAGTGTAACCCAAATCTGCGCCAGGAGCATCTATGATGAAACACAGGCCTAGTGAGAAGCTATTTTTGTTTTTTTGCTTGCTTTCCCACATTTAGGAAATACCATATGAGGAGAAATTAAAGGGTGATGTGCTAGGATAGGAAAAGGACCCCGAGATACTGTAACTTGACTGACCCGGTGTGTCAGCCCGAGGAAGAAAAGTAAGTAGCAAGAACATCTTCTCAGGCATCTCCATCCACCTTGTCAGGCTCAGCTTCTGTACCCCTCAAGGTTTGGCCAGCAACAGCCTAAATATTTTTCCAAAATTTTTGAGCTACTGGGAAGATGAGTGTCATTGTCTTGGTTGAGAAGCACCAGCAGGCCCGTCTTTTTACCCACAGACTGCCTGGAAAGCAGAGTGGCCAAAGCTGTTCAGGGCCATGAACTGCTTTCCCCGGTCTCTGCTATGATGCTGACAAGGGCTATGGCTGGCAGCCTCTCTGCGTGTCTCAAGCAGTTGTGTAGCATTTGCATTTATAGCTGTTTCTGACTGCAGAAGATGCTGCCTGCATTTCAAACTGCTCTCTTCTGAGCAACAGGGAATTCACCCTGCTGAGGCGGTGCCACAGATGGAGATGACATTGCCACCATGCATGTGTTTTGGTACTATTAACCATGGTCCTTTTCGGTTTGCTCCACAGATACTATGTGGGAAAGAGATCCCCCGCTGGGTGAACCGCCTGGCCTACTTCAGCTCGTGCATCCCCTTCCTCCAGAGCTGCCTCCCCAAGGAGTGGCTAACCCCAGCAGCCCTGCAGAGCCACATCAGCCTCGGCCTCCACAAGGAGGAGCAGGGGGACACAACGGATGAGGAGTCCCCCTCCACCTCCGCAGTCCCCTCAGCCTCAGGCACATCGCGAACCTGTAGACATACCCGGGTCTAAACTGTGCCCAGCGTACCCTCAAATAACATCTCCCTCTCTCTTGTACTATTTCTTTCTCACACCCTTTCGCACACCGTGGTTTCTCTCCTCTTCTTCAATGGACAGCACAGGGGAGGGAAGACCCTTTCCACTAAGGAGGTGAAGTTTCAGTCCCTTTTCCAAGGGCTGCCACTACAGTTGCTCAGCAAAATGTCTGTGAACCCCAACGCTGAACTGAGGAGTGTGGCAACTAAACTGGATTATCCTCCCAGGCCCCCCACGCTCCTGGATCCATGGAGAACTGCTGGCTTTCTTGGGCATGAGAGCATGCATACGGGCAGGGGGGCACCATACTGTGATGTTCCTTCTCTGGAACTGTTTTATCTTTTTATCTCTTCCCCCACCCATGTGAGCCCAGCAGCCTCCTCTCTATTTTGGCTGGGTTTGCCATTCCCCTATGACAAATCTCCTGCCCACACCCAGTGAAGGAAGCAGAGCCAGAACTGAACCTTCTCATCTCTTAGACCAGCAAGAAGCTCCACTCAGCCCCATCCCTTTTGTAATTATCAGGTTTCTAACTCATGTGAAGGACAAATGAAAGGTGCTGCTGTTCTATGACCACTGGTTTTCAGTACTGAAATTTAAGAGCTTGAATGATTGTCCTGCTCTTGAAAATAATAACAAAGAACCTAGAAAATGAATGTGTTACCGTGGCTTTTCTTTGGGGTCAGAAAGAGGACGGGGCTAGTACTTAGAGGCAGCTACCACGTACGTGCAGAGATGACTGTTGACCATATTGGTGCTTTTTGGCACAGACCCCTCTCAGTTTCCGTAACTGTAGGCAGCATTCCTGGTTTCCTTTTTTTCCCTGGATTCACTGGGGAATCCCTCTCCTAGCTGACGTTTGCTGGCTGTCTTTGGGGGAACGGCCCTCCTGAGCACAAGGAGGAAGAGTTAATCTGTTGGGAAGGTCAGTATTCCCTTCAGCTTTTCCTTCTGCACTCATAAACCTAAAACATGGCTCCAGAGCCACCCTTCCCCAGCCTATTTTCGAGCCAACCCGAGAAGGTAAAAATAAGTGGAGAACCCAAAGAATGTCAACCTGTTTCCTTCTCCTCCCTTTTTGGAGGCGGAGGGGGAAACTTAGGGCCACATCTGGAAAGCATGGATGACCCTTCCAATGCATGGGCCACCACAGTGCCTTCCATTGTGTGCACTATTTCAGTGGCATGAAAAATGGGCACAGCTGGCTCACTGACCTCTCCAGGCTGGCTCTTGACAAGAATCTGGTCCTTGGATGTATTTATGCTCATTCTGACAGCTGATGAGAAAGCAGAGGAGGAAGAAAGGACAAGTACACCAACTCTTCCACTCAGTTACCTCACTAGGAGTTCTAGTCAGAAGATGTAGGAGAGAATCAAAGGGTAAATCCAGGCCCCCTCTCTCCCTTGCAACTCCTCTTGGCTACACAAAGGATGAAAAAGGAACAGGCTAGGAGAGAAGTAGGGCTTCAGGGGGACATTTCACACAGAAATCTCTCTCACAGTATTTCACAAAGTAAGAAGTGCTTAACCGGCTGTATGGTAACCCGGACAAGAAAGCTGTTGAGAGGGGGTTGCCATTTTAGAAATGCTGTTCTCAACAGCTACTACAAAGTCAGGACTTCCACCCTCCACCCAGAAAGAACTACAAGCCCTTAAGATGGGTGGTTGTTTCCTTTTATTGGTCGCAATAGCATGCTAAGTCCAACCAGCTGTTTCTTTAGCTCAGGTATACAGAAGTGTGTGCTTTCAGGGCTGAAGGTCTTGGCTATGATGTACATCACGTCTGCATAGACAGCGCTTAATGGTTTGTTACATGTGCACGCTCTTACAGAAGCAGGAGGCCTTGGAGAGGTCTATTGGATGGAAATGGAACTCACAGGATGGCCTCACTCCACCGCCTCCTGAGGTGATGCATGTTTGGGCAACAAAACCTTTACAACACACCTCTCATTTTCATCCTCTGAACAAATTGCTGCAAGTTCTGTACTGAACTGAAGTCATGTTCCTTATTAACCTTGGCTGCTCTCAGCCAATACTGCATTGTGAGCAATTCTGCAGCTCCTGGTATCCAGTTCAGCACCAATCTTGATTACCCTGGCTTGTCCAGGCATGTTTGATAAAATTTCCATCCTGTTCTCCATCCTGCTGCCCAGAAACCTTGTTACACAATGTACTGTTGCACTCTCTATTCCCCTGCAGTCATGGTCATTGCAGCCTAAACCAGCAGTGCGAGCTCCATTTGTCTGAAGCTCCCAGTGTGCCTGCCAATAGCCAGCAGCACGTTATGTGCAGTGAATTTTAAAATCTCTTTTTAGGTCCTTCTCTGGAGGAAAGTGAGAAGAGGCTTTCCCAGAGCTTTTGTCTAGGCCAGGGAAACTGCAGTGAGAAACACCTGGTTCCTGATGTGACAAAGGCCAGCCAGCCATCGCCCTCGTGTTTCCGCTCTGCACCTGAGCTCCAGATACAGCACCACGTATACATCTAGGAGAGAAGTAGGGCTTCAGGGGGACATTTCACACAGAAAACTCTCTCACAGTATTTCACAAAGTAAGAAGTGCTTAACCGGCTGTATGGTAACCCGGACAAGAAAGCTACATTCAGCCTCCTTGGGGACATGAATATGTGCTTTGAAGTATTGGGAACAACACTTGGGGTGAGCTGTCAATATCATAAAAAACAGATGTTTGTTTATCTACTTTTATGTTTGTCTGTTTATGGCAGTAGGGGTGACATCAAGGAGGCATCAAACCTGTTGTAAATCAAAACCAGAATATATTCCAATCTTTAAAAGTGTTTCTCCCCACCCCTCTCTGTTCAAGGTGACTGACCAACAGTGACAAGAACAAAAGGACACTGTGGAAATAAAATATATATTGATGATAGCTTTACTTCTGTAATTTAACAGCATTTTAGATTATTAAACATGAAGACATTTTAAAAGTCTAATTTACTGTTCATCTCTGGTACAGTATGTTTGGTTTAGTTACTTTTCTTATCTTTCCAGTTATTGCACTATTATTGTTGTTATTATAGAATTATATCATATTTAGTTACACATTTGATTTCTCTTGCTGTTTTAGAGCATAACACCATGGGAAAATTTTAGATACCAACCGTTACCAATGAAAACAAAAGAGCAGCTTAAAAATCTTAACAAGAGCACCCCAGGGCACTGACACAAACTCTTAATCCTTCTTCTTACTGCTAGGACTTTTGGGGCCCTTTTAAAAGTTGGAATGAGAGGGCACCAACTCTGCACATGGGCATCAGCTGCTGTGGGTTCTGTCTCCAGCAGAGAGCTAATAGCACTCAGGTGGGACAGGAAGGCTGAAGGTGAGGTCAGCTTAGTGCTGGAATATTAGAGTTACAATACAAATTACTTCCAGGGAGTTACGGTAAGAAGAAAGAGGTTAAGTAATAACCTCTCTTCTCAGCACACCTGTATCTGTAATAGCAACTCTCTTAATTTCAGAAGATTATTCTTACTGATTTTTTTTTTGTCAGTTGGCTTCTTCTTCCTGAGTCTGTGATTTGATGCCTCAATCTCTCAAAGTTTTAAAAGGGACCGTTGTGCTTTCAGAGGCCCTGGGTGAGCCGATCCCCCAGCACTGAGCCTGTGCTCTGTGATGAGTTCATCCCAGTCTCAGCACAGTGGAGGGATGGACCTGTTCTCTTGCTCTCGTCACTGCTGAGAGTTCACATGTCTGGAATTCAGACCCGTGTTGCCTTCATGGTATTGAGGTACTCAAGAAGCAGACGTTTCCTGATATGTTATTTTTTTATTCTTCAGTTGTGTTTATTTGTCTCTAGGCTGGAGGGGCTCTCGGAACAAGTTAGTGACCACTGGACTGCGGTAACATTAGCTTAATTTCTTACATGTTTGATTGTCTTTTCATTTTAGTTGTACATATGTGGTGGCTTATTGACGTGTTCAGAAAACTTAAGTAAAGTACCTCCACCAATTCCTTGATGTGATTAATGGAGAAGACCAAAGGAAGTAATCATCAGTGTTTCATTTTTCAAATGGTTTTAAATTACTCTTTGAGTTGAGGCAGCAGGTGTCCTGTGCTACTTTGCCCCTACTGTGCTCACCATCAGGCAATGATTTGGGTTGTGGAAAGGCTGTGCGATGACTCAGGAAGTATTTAAAAGAAGAACTTCCATCATGCCAGCTCCACTCTGCTATTGCCACAAGCTACCAGAACACAGCAGAGCCTTTGGCAGCAGTAATATGTGAAAACATCACAACCTGTGCCTGGAGAATATGTGCTCTTGCCTCCAACGTGTCAGCGCTCCACCATTGTGCACTTGGCTGTAGCTGAGAGGTGTTTGAGTGGATGGTGGGGCACATTTATTTACTACCAGCAACAAATTACTAATGGCTCTAAATCTCAGAGTAAGACTGTCTGTTAGTGCTGTTGTAGCCAGCTTTGTTTTGAAAAGGCTGTAAAAGTTTCTGGGCATCCAATGTAATTGGGATAAGGGATAACAAGTTGGGAAAACAGACAGTATGATCATGGCAATCTTCTTTCCTTAGGAAACCAGGCTACAGAATGAAGGCTTCTCCTGAGGGGCTTCCTGTGGCAAACCACCTGGCCACATGGTAGCACTGAGCTCATCATCAGCCTTAAAGTTATCTTGAGAGTCTTCTTCTCTGTAGTCTTTTGTTGTTTTCTCATGCTGTGATGAGGTGACCTTACTGAAAGTGAACTCCTCTTCCCCATATACAACCACACAGAGTTTTATCTTAATAGGATAATTCAGGGTTACTGCAGTTTTGTGGACGTAGCTTTAATCTCCCCATTATTGACTATGCTGCAGTGAGTAACTGAATTTTCAGTCCTGCCATACACACAGACTGAACTGCCCACTCATGGATGTAATTACCTTAATATAATAGCACACTATACTCATACAATGTTCTGTGGATGGGCATTACCAAAAGTAATCAACAGTAAGAATAAGGGCATAATGTTTAGCAGCCCTAATCCAAAAATGAGAATGCTACTGTGCTAGGTGTGCTACAAACACCTAACAAAAATAGCATGGTTGCACAAAAAATTTTCCAGGAGAGGTGATTCTGCCCCTCTACTCTGCTCTTGTTAGACACCACCTGGAGTACTGCGTCCAGCTCTGGAGCCCCCAACATAAGAAGGACATCGACCTGCTGAAGCGGGTCCAGAGGAGGGCCATGAAGATGATTAGAGGGCTGGAGCACCTCTCCTCTGAAGACAGGCTGAGAGAGTTGGGGCTGTTCAGCCTGGAGAAGAGAAGGCTCCAGAGAGACCTCATAGCAGCCTTCCAGTACCTGAAGGGGGCCTACAGGAAAGGTGGGGAGGGACTCTTTATCAGGGAGTGTAGTGATAGGATGAGGGGTAACAGTTTTAATCTGAAAGAGGTAGATTTAGATTAGATAATAGGAAGAAATTCTTTACTGTGAGGGTGGTAAGGCACTGGAAGAGGTTGCCCAGGGAAGTTGTGGATGCCCCATCCCTGGAGGTGTTCAAGGCCAGGCTGGATAGGACTTTGAGCGACCTGGGCTAGTGGGAGGTGCCCCTGCCCATGGCAGGGGGGGTGGAACTGGGTGATCTTCAAGGTCCCTTCCAACCTAAACCATTCTATGATTCTGTGATTCTATGAATAATGGGCAG